ATTAAAACCAATATCTTCATTGGATCCTATCTACATGTATCATACTACTAAAATCATAAGCCCTATCAAAAGTCAACTTTACTTTTCCTTTTCCTTTTCCTTTTACTGTGACTTTTTACTTTTATCTTTACTGTGACTTTTACTTTAAAATTTATTGTGACTTTTACTTTTACTGTGGCTGTGACTTTTACTTTTACTTTTACTTTTATTGACTGTGCGGTTGACTGCTCCGTTTATTACTGCGCGGTTTTAAAATTTGAACGTTGAGTTTGTGGGTGTGTGCAATCTAAAGTGTGTGTTACAATTTGAGCTTACCCAAAACAAATTTGAAACTCTTGATTACAATTTTGAAGCTCTTGATTACAAATTTGATGTTCAAAATATTTTTTGGATTGTGCACTTCAAGATTGAGTTGTAAATTGTGAGTTATAAGTTGGAAGTTGTAAGTTGGAAGTTGTAAGTTGTGAAGTTGGAGTTGGAGTTGGTTGATGTGATCTTGGAGGTTTGAATACAAAGTTGGAGTTGGAGTTGGTTGATGTGATCTTGGAGGTTTGAATACAAAGTTGGAGTTGGAGTTGGAGTTACAAAGTTCAAGTTGTGGAGATTGTTCAAGAAATTTGAGGTGAGATTGCAATTTTTGCAAGATTAAGAAAGATTGAAAGGTTTTGAAAGATTGAAATTTTTGGTAATTTTTGATTTTGGGTAATCATAAAATCAAGTTTTCAAACATTAAACTTTCAAATCAAGTTGAAATTTAGTGGTTTTAGTTGCAAAAAACCAAACAAAAAACAAAAAACATCAAGGACTCAAAAACGAGCAGCTGCTGTTCTGTGATGTGCACATCGCCGAAACTTTTACTTTTACTTTTTTTAATTTTTTTTTTTTTTTTGCCCAACAATTTTTCATCCACTGTGATTTTTCATCTGCAGCGTGATTTTTCATCTACTACGCGATTTTTCATTCACTGCACGATTTTTCATCTGCTATGTTTTTTCATCCACTGCATGGTTTTCATCTGCTACACGGTTTTTCATCCATTGTGGATGAAATTGTATTTTGGACAAAATTCATTTAACAGTGAGTTAATATCTCCCAAAATACTAATTATTTTTGAATTCCGACTTCGGATTTGGACTTTTTAGGTGCATTTTCATTTAGTAGGAAAGAAAATGATTTGTGACAAAAGTTTTCAAAAATCGACATTTTTAAGTGTCTTCAAAAAAAAAAATTTAGAGTCTAAACTTTGGAGGTAGAGTATGGCTTGAGAATATGTTCATCACATTTGTTTTCATGCATGTTTTTTGTGTGTTAGATCAATACCTCTTGGCTACGAATGTGTTGCAAAGCAAGCGCCAACCTAATCTATTTTTTTTCTTTGAAGTGTAGTGCATTGAACGTAAACTTTTTAGAGTGGAGTGAAATTTCATCAAAAGGTGCAACTTTCTTGGAGCACAAGCTTACAAAGGTACTATCAAAAACCTTACTTTTGTGAGTTTTGAAATGGTTTGGAATTCACATTAGGATTTTTGTTATCCTACATTAAACTCTGCTTTTTCTTATCAATTTTTTCAATCTTTGTGGAGTTTAGGATTTAGGGTAGGATTTCTTCTATCCTACACTAAATCCTATTTATTGATATATCTTTTTATCTTTGTGGAGTTTAGAATTTATGATAGGGTCTTCATTCTCCTATCCTAAATTCCACTTTTTTTATTATATTGTCATCTTTCTAGAGAATGGCTCGTGCTTTGTCTACCATTGATAATTTTGTAGATGTCAATGTTGATAGTGTTGGATCAATGTACATCCAATGTCCAAAATATTTGGCTTTTTGTTTTAAAAAAGAAAAAAATACCATTTGTTGTTACAATGGCAAAATTGCCAATGAACATGTTAATCACCCCAGTGTCCATCCAATGCTCAATGAGCTTTATATGGGCACAACACCTAAATCTCGAGAGTTCCTTAAATCCATTCGAAAGTATAATCAAGCTTTTGCATTTACAAGTATGCGTAGTAAGTTTCAGTCTGGCCAAGTTGAAGGTAGAGGGGTATATACTTTTCGTGTGAACGGAGAGTTATGCCATCACATTGGAAATTTACAACCCGATTTAGACGAAGGTGCTGAATTTGCACAAATTTATTTCTTGGATGATGGTTTACAAACAAATCGTCGTATAGAGATTTTTGATGATCTTCATCGTGATGTTGTTAACAACATTCAAGAAGTTTTAGAATCCATAAATGCGTTGATTCGTGGTTTTAAGTCTTCGCGTGATGTTCTTCAAAGGGGACAAAACATGGGACTTCATATCTCTGGTGAGGTTCCTTTTGGTGAACATCCCCGTCGATATAATTGCCAAGTAGTTCCAGAAGTTGCTGCTGTTGTTCTTGACGAACAATACATGAATTTTGGTAGAGATATTATTCTTCACCAACGTGGTGGAGATTTAATACGAATAAAAGAAATTCATCCAGCTTACGATGCTTTATCCTATCCTTTGTTGTTTCCTGATGGACGATGTGGGTGGTCACCAACTTTTAAAGCAGATACTGGAGTGACTTTAAAGTCATATGTCCAATATTTGCTTCAAAAGCACCTAAAATCTAATGTATTACATAAAGCTGGTAGATTATTCCAACAATATGTAGTGGATCAATATTTACGTGTAGAACATGAAAATTTGCTTTTCATTAGGCAACATCAAATTGAACTTCGTGCAGAGTGCTATGAGGGGGTCGTAGATGCTTTGCAGGAAGACAATGGAACACGCATTGGGCATCGCATTGTCTTACTTGCAACATTCATTGGTTCTCCCCGATACATGCAAAAACTCTTTCATGATAGTATGGTTTTGGTTAGAGTTTTAGGAAAACCCGATTTGTTTGTGACAATGACATGTAATCCGACCTGGCCTGAGATTCTTGATGAGCTTGAGCCAGGTCAAAGTCCTCCTGATTGTCCAGATATTGTTGTGCATGTTTTCGAGCTCAAGTTAGGAACATTGATGGATGAGATTACGAAGAAGAATGTCATAGGAGAGACAATTGCTCTTTGTTACACTATTGAGTTTCAAAAACGTGGTCTTCCTCATGCACACATTCTTCTTTGGTTGAAAGACAAGGTCAATGACTGTGACCTTGTAGATAGGATAGTATGTGCGGAGATTCCCGATTTAGATAGACAACCGTAATTGTATGCCACGGTTGCCAAGCACATGATGCATGGACCATGTGGTTTGGACAATTCTAATTGTCCATGCATGGAAGATGATAGATGTACAAAGAACTATCCGATGCAAGCTCGAGATACTACCGAGGTGGATGGTGACGGACATATTTTGTACCGTCGTCGAAATCAAGGTCGATATATCGAGAAATGTGTACGTGGACAAATTGTCCGTTTAGACAATCGATGGGTTGTGCCATACAATCCATATTTGATAGGTCGGTTTAATTGTCACATTAATGTGGAAATTTGCAGTTCTGTAAAAACTGTCAAATACCTCCACAAGTATATTTTTAAAGGTCCAGATCGTGGTGTTGTAGAAACAGATGAAGTGGTAGATGAGATTAAGGATTTCTTGAAGGGTCGTTATGTGGCCGCCCAAGAAGCATGTTGGAGGCTCTTTGGTTTTGAAACTAATAATAAGAGCCATAGTATTTATCGTTTGCCTGTTCACCTTCCCGGTCAGCAATATGTTACTTTTAAGGAAGGAACATCTTTGCACTCAGTGATTGATCAAAATGCTGAGACTAAACTCACCAAGTTTTTTGAGCTTAATTACCATATTCGTGCCTTAATTGCTTCTGGCAATCAAGGCAACCATATGCTTCTTTGTTACATAGATCTTCCACTCTATTACAAGTGGGATGTGAAGAATAACATGTGGGAAAGAAGAGTACGTAAGATAAAAGTTTTTGGTCGGATAAACATGGTTCCCATAGGTACCGAAGTATTTTACTTGCATTTGTTGTTGACTCATGTCGAGGCACCAACTTCATTTGAGGACCTACTTTGTTTTCATGATATAGTGCATCCAACGTACAAGGCCGCTTGTATTGCAAGAGGACTTTTACAAGATGATTCTGAATGGAAAAATTGTCTGCAAGAGGCAACTGTCATTGTGTTGCCTAAACAAGTTCGGCGGTTGTTTGCAACACTTCTTGTGTTTGGACAACCGCTAGATCCTCTTAGCTTACTAAAGACACATCTTGATGCTATGTCTGATGATTGGCGCAATGATCAAAATCGCTATTGCAAAGTAATTTTGTCCATTGAAGAATATTTGTCATCATCAGACAAACATCTTACAGATTTTTTTAATATCGAAGAATTGAATGAGTTTGGTTATTCAAACATTGTTGATGTTGGCGGTGATTCCAATGACAATATTGATTTTGATAACCAAAACATTACTTTTCTAGAAGAGGATGTAGGTAGGCTCAACGAAGAACAATACATTGTTTTTAATGTGGTGACCACTGCCGTTTTAAATTCTGATTCTCCAGATCGGCTTTTCTTTTTAGATAGTCCTGGTGGTACAGGTAAGACCTTTTTGTATAACACCATATTAGGTTATCTTTGTGGTCGTAATGTCAAGTGTATGGCAATGGCAACAAGTGGAATTGTCGCATGCCTTTTGAATGAAGGGCAAACTGCACATTCAGCTCTAGCTATTCCTTTACAGTTGCACGATGCATCAATTTGTAACATTAGTGCCCAGTCTACATTAGGTCAAAGCTTACGTGAAGTACAATTGATTGTACTTGATGAAGCTTGTATTGGGCATCGTTTTATGTTTGAAGCTATAGACAGATCATTGCGAGATATACGCAATATAGATAGTCCAAATGGTGGTGTTGTAGTATTATATGGCGGTGATTTTTGCCAAACTTTGCATGTAGTTGTACGTGGAGGTCGCAATTAAACTGTTCAAGCTTGCTTGCGACATTCATATCTATTTCCACTAATGCAACATTTTCATTTGACCACTAACATGCGTTTGCAAAGTCAACCGGACTTTCAACGATTTTTGTTAGATATTGGTGAGGGCAAAACTGGTCCAAAGGTAGATTTACCGCTAGGATTAGTTGCTCCTAGAAATTCTTTAGATGGTCTCATTGAAGCTATTTTTGAAGATCCGGTTGATTTTTCTGAGCGCGTCATTTTGACTGTCCGGAATGATGATGCCCAAGAAATCAATCGAAAAATCACCGATCGTATACCTGGTGATGTGCATCAATGTTTTAGTGCTGATTTTGTTCACGAGAATGATGAACATGCCCATCATTACCGAGTAGAGTTTTTGAATTCTTTACAATTGAGCGGTTTGCCTCCTCACCAATTAAGTCTTAAATATGGCCAATATTTGATGTTGCTAAGGAACTTGAATCCGGCAAAAGGTTTGTGCAATGGTAGTCATTTGCATCTTTTGCAAGTGTCTTCCAATGTGTTGTTATATGAAATTGTAGAAGGACGCTATCGTAGCCAAGAGGTATTGATTCCTAGAATCACACATCATTACAACGATAGCCGCTTGCCATTCACACTTTGTCGGAGACAATTTCCTGTCACTGGTGCTTTTGCCATGACAATCAACAAATCGCAGGGCCAATCATATGATCGAGTTGGCATTTATCTTCACAATGAAGTATTTAGCCATGGTCAATTATATGTGGCATTGTCTCGTGGTAGACATCCTGCAAACATTAAGGTTGCCAATGACAACAATGAAGCTGTGGGAATGGTTAAAAACATTATTTATCATGAGGTTTTTACATGACATTGTCATATAAATTCCTATAAATATTTACACCTGAATCAGGTGGATGGAAAAGTTAAGAGTTTGTTTCAAACTCTGCATGTTTAGGGTTCATGCACGCTTTGGCAACGTCCCCTTCCATCCAATTGCATTCTTTTGGTGTTCAATTATGTTTTCTCAATTGAGACAACTTACCATTCAATTGAAGAAGGTTACATCTTGAATTTCACTATTCAATGAATGGATATTTTCCAATGCATGCATCTTTAGATGCATTTTATTTCTAAAATTTATTACTCTATTCTATTATATTACATTCTTAAAATTCATGCTTAGGTCATGAAGACATATTTATATATGTAGATTGTTGTTACCTTCCTTTTAAACTATTTTGTAATATAAGAACTACATTAAAATGGTTGGACTTATGCATTGCAAAGTAAGCACCAACAGCTAGTTACTTATAAAATCCTATCAATGATTAGTTAGTAGTTAGAAGAAGCATGAAAAAGAGCTTCATGTCTTTTTAGTTAATTATATAAAAAATATAATTTTTAGTAGATTTAAATTGATTTTATTACTATAAAAAATCACCAATATAGAAAAATATAGCCTCATATAGATATTAGTATTATAGAAATATTATAGGATTTTTTAGAATTTATTTGTAATTTATTTAGAATTTTTTATGAATTTTTAGAGAAAAATTTCAAGACTTTGGTAAAATTGAGTTTTATCTTCTTGAGAGCCATTATGAAGAAATGAAGCAAGATTTGAAAACTATGCAAGGTTTCAAGGCTAATTGGGTATTTTTGAACACCATGGTGAAGTCAAAAATGTAAAAAAAGTAGTTTTACTAGTAGAAAATAGGAGGACCAGTAGGTAGTATAGTCCTTGTAGGAAGAGAGGTGCACAATTCCCATATGGGTTGTAGCACCTTGGATAAAGGTAGGAAGATAAGACTAAGGTCTCAAGGCCTCTTGAGGGGGGAATATACACTACTTGTGAGCCTTGGTGAGGCTCGAACTCCTGATTTCTTAAGCAAGTTATCCTTGAGGTAAAAATTATTCACTTAACTTTTCTATTATTTATATTCTATCTTTAATCTATCATAACTTATTCATAGTAATTTGGAATTATATGATTTTTATGTCATTGAAAAGATAAAAGAATTATATATCTAAAAATATATTTTTTACTTTTTACTAGATAAAAATCTAGTGAACGGACTGTGACTTCGTTTTGGATATTGTGATTACTTGATTTCATCTCTTTTACTTGTATTGTGGTTGTTCCTCCTTGGTCTTTTTCCAATTGCTTACTTCACTTGACACCACCAATTACAAGAAATTCTTAATTGAGGCCATCTTATAATTAGAGCTGAGGAGTGAAATTTACACTCACATAAATGGTGCATTTGCCATGAGATGGTGCTTCTAATGGTGTGTGAGAATGTGAAGTGAGCATTTTGTGAATGATCTTGCTTGGACTTGTTGTGTGATCATTGCAACTTAGTCTTCATTATTTGTAAGTTTCTTCCTCTCTCCTTGTTAGTATAAACAAGGCCTTCAAATTTTTAAAAATCAAAAGATAGTCAAAAGTTTTGTTGTTGAATAGAATGTTGATTTGCTCTCGGATTTTTGTCAATCAGTTTTTGGATGTTTGATAGTTGAAGTTGAAACTTTGGCAGTGCATGTATTTTGCTGTTAACTTTCTAAAAAGATATTATATGCTCAATTTGGAGCTACAACGAATTTGTGGTGAATTTTCGAAAACAAGAGGGTTTACTGCCTTGGCAATTTTGTATATCTTGTCTTTGACAAGGCATTTCTTAGTGCCGGATAATTATTTCATAGTGAAATATTTTAGATACAAGCAATTCAAAGTTGATATTGTAGTGGTGCAAATTTCAATGCTTTTGAATCAAAATTGAATTTTAGGCGACTTCTGGAGTAGAGAGAGGTTGCTACCTTTAGCAAATACAATTGAACATCAAGGGTGGAGTTCGTCTTCAAGGTTTCATCACTCCCCCTCCTTGTAAATTTTCTAATTGAGGGCCTTTTTATATTGGTAGGAGGATTTAATCACTCCCTCAATCCCTCATATGCCTTCTATTCACAAGAGTAGTATACAAGGAGCTTGAAAGAATTCAAGGAAATTCTTCATCAACAAAAAAAAAAGAGATTCAAGAAGAAGAAATAGATAGAAGAATTAGATAGAAGAAATTTAGAAGAAGTAAGAAAAAAGAAAAAAAGAAGAAAAGAGAGGACCAATGAGTTCAAATTATAATTGAAGGTGAGTATATTTTTAATAAAAATCATTTAGTTTCAAATTTATTTTATTAATACAGATTGTGGACTGAGAAAAAGGAATACAGTTTGCCAAAATTAAATGGGTTCCAAACCTTAGGTCTTTAATTTTATTTGAAATTTTAGACATGCAAGGAAGGAGCACGGCTTGGCAAAATTAGGTGGGTTTCAAACCTAGCTCTTTATTTTTATTTCAAGTTTAAGTATACTTAAGAAGGAGCACGATGAGACTTGCTGTCCTCAAGTATTTTCTAAATCCCTTCTATCTTCTTATAGTATAAGTGGACAAAATTTATTACACAATCCAGGAATTTCTTGACTCCACCTCTTTTTTTTAAAAGAAACCTAGTGTATTCTTGATAAGTACTATTTTAATTTTTAGTTGTTTTGAAGAAAGTGAAGTCGGGTTAATGGCCGGCATGACTTTCTTTTGTTGTTGAGCCTATACTTGTGGGACGTGATGACCCCCATGAGACAAAGTTGAAAGCAATAGGTTGCCCTATAGGTTGTCTTTTTCTCCGTCCATCTGATTTTTGTAATATCCATGTGATAAAAATTTTAAATTACTTGTACTTCTCTTAGCCTTGTTTTCCAATTTCTAAATTGTGAATGAAGTCCAATTAATGGGTGACTCCACTATATTAAGATCGGCATGGGATCTTAATTTGGTATTTAGTTGGACCTCATGCGTCACTTGTGAGAAAGGTTTAATTATTAGATGAAACCACTAATTTGAGATTGGTAGGAGATTTCATCTTAGTATATAATTAAACCATGTGCCTCACAAATAGATAAGAAAAGAAAGGATTTTATGTTATTTCACAAAATAAAATAAAAATAATTTAAAGTCCATTTATTTTATTTTTAATCACCTATTAAGTCTTTTATCTTAAGAGAGTCATTGAAGAGCCATATACTTAGTTATATGCTACGTAGAATTGAATCCCAAATAGTTTATTTTCTCCTTACTTGCCTTATTTTGCAAAGTGGATGCGTTTTATAATTTAGGTTTAATATATGATCTCCCAAGATTTAGTGGATCTATCAATGAAACTCTCACAGCCCACATAAAAAGATTTATAAAAGTACTTATCACTAGTTTAGTAACCAATCATGGCTACTACTTAATATGGTTTCAAACAACCTTAACAGATTTTGCGTATGCTTGGTATAGATCCCATGTAGAGGGAACATTCACTAAATGGGAATAACTTCTAGCAGCATTTCTCCATCAATATAGGCCTGTAATTGGCCAACAATAAACTCTTTCAACCTTGACAACCATTAGACAGGGTCCTTCAGAAGTTATTACTTCTTATGTGAGGTGATTTTGAATAGTATGTACTTGATATATTAGTAACCTTTTAAATGAGGATACCATAAGGCACTACTTTATTCAAGGTTTTGTCATGTCTTCTACAATTCGATATATCCTAAACAAGACACCTAAAGACTTAGAAGGAGCCATTTAAGTTGCTTTAAAAGGAGAGATTATTGATAAAGAAAATGATCGTATGCTTCAAAGGGTAGAAGAACCAATACCCTCCTTTATACCCTTGCAACATCGACCTACGGAATTCCATCAACCTCTAGCTTTAAGCTATTCACAACCTTCTACTTTTTCCTTGCCAATTAGCAATCTAATACCTTTAGCTATACAATCTCCACATGATTAAGTTCAAACTAAGACCTTTTATGATACTAGATTGGAAGAATTTAAAAGTGAAGTAAGGAAAATCAATGACGTATTCACAAATGAGATGATGAACACTATGAAAGCTATTAGTGAACAAATGTCTTACCTCGTTAAAAATCAAAATTCAACTATAGAGCCTAGATACCACAAATCGAGAATTCATACTTTTGATTTGTGGTGTACAAACTATAAACAACTAAATCACACTACTCAATTTTATCCATGGATTTTATAACAACAATTTATAGAAAAGAATCAACTCCAATCTTATAGATTTTTTCACCATTCAAGACAAGAAGGTCCTAGTCTTCCTTCCAACCAAAGGAATAATATTTCACCTTGTCCTACTTGTGAAAAATCACATCGAGTAGGTCAATGTTGGATTGAGAATGGAATTATATGCTCAAATTATAGAGTTCTCATCCTACGGATCATTATAGAAGATCCAACCAAGTTAATTCATCAACTTCTTCTTCAAGAGATTATAAAAATCAAACCAGGGAAATTATATAAGGAGTTTAATTTGTAGATCTTATTATTACAAAAAATCCATCAAACATATATTATGACCCTTCGAGCAATGGTCAAAATCATCATCCTCCAACAATAGTTAAAATCAATCATGGAACATTACAAGAATCTGTAGCCTTTACCCAAAACCAAAACCAAAACCAAAAACCACATTCTTCTCAAAATATTAGATATACAGTGGCTCAACTTGATGTACGTACTACATCAACCTTACCATTTCCTTGATCCAACTTAGTTCAACTAGAAAACAAAGAGATCTTCAAGAACAATGTATATTTACCTTCTTTGGTTGTAATTAGAAGTATGAGTGCTAAAAAACCAATATATTTAGCACCTCTTGAAGACGATGAAATATCTTTGGATACTTCAGAAGAATTGCCTAAGTTTGTAGAATTGACAAAAATTACTCAAGAGGTAGCTAAACAACTAAAACACAACCAATCATTTTCTTTGATTGAACCTAATGAGGAAGAATATCAATTTGT